ATGAATGTATTTTACAACAATACAAAGAGCAATGTGTAGGCCTACCAGATTTAGCCCTACACTTATTCACTTTTATTTGTTACCCACTAAATAATGTATTTTTTTTTCACTAAAAGTTTAGGATTTTATCAAATTATTGTGCACTCATGACTAGAGTAACTTTTGCTACTGAATTATCCATTAACCTAGTATTTTTGTCATAGATTTTGATTATATTTTTTTTGTTTGTTATTTTTTCTTTATAAATGAAGCGGTCTATATTTAGTAGATTGTGTGTAACATACAAAAGAGTGATGATCGACCTACACATTGAGGTATAGAAATTCTACACTCATTTAAAAAAAAAAAAAAACTGCGCTGGTATCGGATCGATATCGGTATCGGCAGCTACTCAGAATTTTTGGTATCGGATCGGTATCGGTTCTGAAAAAGTGGTATCGAGCCATCCCTAATTTAGATTTAGCATCAACATGGCATACGGCCTACATGCTATTTGAAGTTCGAAAAAAGTTCACATTCAATATAAATCTCTAATTTACTTTTTTTTGGATGTGCCTTTAGATCACCATTTCTTATACAACCAATTGTACAAACACCACAACACTCTCCCTAAAAAGCACAATCACAGATGCAATGAGATGAGAGAGAGAGATTTAGTGACCTAGTGTGTTACGTCACATCTTATAGAATAGATATATAGATATTATAGATTATGTCTAACATTGCACACTCACTCACTCACTCACCTTGACCAGTGAATATAGACTCCTCTCCCCAAACATAGCGTGTAGAAAAGAGCGGTCATCTGAACTCTCAACATGAGGCTGCAGCTGAGACGGCAGTACAGACAATAGCTCATACAGACCTGCAGAGGAAATACAAGAAACGCATTACACACCCAGACACACACACACACACACACACACACACACACACACAGCCAATACCCAAAGAGAAAATATAGACCGATATAAACAAGACCCAGAAAATCTGAATTAACACAGACACCTGAGGCATGTCAGATAGGCTATAAAGATTATTCTCCAGTGAAACCTTCTAACATGACTTGACATTATTATAGCTAGGAGTGCTCCGATTGATCGGCTACCGATCACTATCGGCCGATAATAACGTTGGGATGATTGATCGCGGTCTCTAAAAAGGCCGATCTCAAAAAAACGATCTCAAGCTGATGACGCTGCCGTGAGAGGTTTGGCTCGACATGCAGCAGCACAGTCTCAGTCTCTGTCCAGAGTGGGTGAAATAATTATAATGCTAAAGGTGAGGTACTCACCTTCATATTTCTAAATTAAATAACTTATAAAGTAATTTGAAAACCTTGTGT